CCAACAGAGCTTCGACAACAATCTGTAGATTTTGGTATAATCAATCGCATAATATCAAATGTAGAATAAATTGCCTTTGATTGGTAACATGTAGAATCTTTTGCCAATCAAAAAAAAGTTGCGGGACATTAAAAAAAACTCGCAAAACGCAGACTTGACTTTTGGCTGAAAAAAATAACAAAGAAAAACTCATTAAGCAGATACGTGAGGTTTTGCTTGTTTTTTCGTGAAAAACAGTTGAGAATTAATGACTATAAACACTGATTTCTCGACATTAAATTAATGACCATAATTATTTTGCTTATTTTTGTAGAAAAACAGAATAAGATTAATGACCATTGGCTCCGATAGTTGTAATTAACTCTTTACCAAATAACTACTAGTAGTAATTAATTCAACTTTCTATCTAATTCAGCCATTAACCTCTTGACTATTAATTAAACTCAACAACCAATATTTATTATTACCAATAGAAAATCGTTGAAAATATAATAATAATTTTTTTTATTACAATATTAATTACATGTTGAGTCTATAAATTGAGTAGTTATCTTTGAAGTAAAAACACATGCGGGTCAATACATGCAAATTATAAGAAATGAAATTGCATCTATGATTTGGGCTTCACACCATCATTAATTTTTTTTTGTGTAATATGAATGTTTCCAGAAATAAGTTATAAAAATAATTACTCCTTTTATAATACTTAAAAATTTATTACTATGATTTTAGTTCAAATTTCACATTTATAATAGTCTTTTTATGATATATCAAATAATACCTAAGTATGTAGTAAAAATTCATTTATAATTTTTTCCGCCATTCCGCAAAATTTATCCAATCGGACAATCATTTCATTCCGTAAGTTTTCATTTCACAGAAAAAAAAAACGCATTCCGCAAAAAAAAAAATTTCCACTATTCCACAATTACACTATGTTACCAATCCAAACCATTAACTTAAACAAACTGTCTTACCTTAAGATTTAAGAGAAAGATATACAAAGGTTGAATTAATTAAGGAATTATCTTATTATATAAAGGAGAATGCGCACGATGAGAGCTTGACACGTAGACAAAATTATAACTCATCATATGGCGACATGTGTCTACTATTAACGAGATGATGACATGTGTCAATTAACAAAAAAAATAAAAGGGAAAAACGTTTCTTTAAAAACAAAAAGGAAAAAATGTTTTTCTTAAAAAAAAATGTCATAACATAAAATACAAAATTTCCAAAACATCAAACAAAACCAAGAAAAATACAAAAACATAAATTATTCAAAAATAGTAAAACTAAGTAATTAAAAGATAAGAAAAAAAAAATGGAAATAAAATTCGTTCACCAAAAAGTGACAAAACATAAAAAAACAAAAATTTCCATTTAATTAAACAATAAATAAAATAAAAGAAAAATATAAGTGATTCACAGAAAAAAAAGGATTTTGTTCAAAAAAGAAAAATCATTACTTGAAGAAAAAAAGAAAAATGCCATATTTTCTAATTGGGCGACACCTTTCATAACAAAAAACGCACACAACAAACTCTATATAATAACTAAAAAAATTTTCAATCGGCACAATAAAACCTTTCAGTTTCTCTATTTTCTTCATCTAACTTAATGAGAATAAGCCATGAATTCAAATATTTCACAAATCGATGAAAGCTATCTACTTTAAATCAATTGGATAAAAATCGTGTTTATCGTTGTACTATTGTACGTGTTCTTCGAAAGTGAGAAGCTAGAAATCTTAAAGCAAACAATGTAATCAGGGGTGTGGAACTTCTATTGCTTGATGCAAAAGTAAGTATATTATTAAACCTTGTATATATATATGTATAGTATTTTACTAAATATGAATGAT